GAGCTGAGCCCTGGGCCGCGTGAGGGGCAGCCTTGAAGCGGCTGGCTCCCCCAAGACGCTCTCCTGAAGAGGGCACTGCGTGGTTTGGAGAATAGTGAACACCGCCCGAGGCGGGGTCAGGGAGCCCGGGGAACACGGGCTAGCAGAATCCACCGCCCCCCCCCGCCCCCGTGAGGAAGAGCGGGGCTGGAAACATCGGAACAGGGGATCGGAGCCACGTGAGAAACTAAAAGGCCAGACACACATGTAACCTGCATCTTGAGGAGGGAAAACATGGGACGGAGGTGTTTTTGAAGAGGTGATGGCTGAGAATTTGCCGAGCAGGAAACCCACAGGCTCAGGGATTCCAGCGACTCTCAGGCTGGAGAGACGCAGCGAGCGCACGCCTGCACGGGGACCCGGGGCTGGAGAAACTCTTCAGAAGCCGGCGGAGTAAAGACCCTTTCAGACAAACAAACCGAGGGGCTCTGGCCAGGTAGCCTGTGCTGGGAGGAAAACCAAACAGCGGCCTGCGGCAGGAGAGGAGCAGGTAGGTTTCCTCCAGAGCTGAGATGACACAGGGAGGCTCACTTGCCCCATTCTACTCGCCACAGTGCAATTCGACCAGGAAAGGGGGCAAACGGGAGCAGGACTGAAAGCGACAGAGTGAGCCTGACTGCCCACGATCGGCACTGCTGGCAGGCCCCGCTGACGGCGGTGAAGGCGCGTCGTGCCTCCAGGTACGCACAGGCAGGCGGTGAAAATGGCTGAATGGTTCCGTTTTCAGCAACATCAGAACCCGTCAGATCCCTAAGGAAGATCTAACAGAACACGCCTGATCTCCACCCTGAAGCCCACAAGCCTTCCCGGGAAGAGACCTGGACAAGCAGCGAGGGGGCGTGTTTGTGGGGTGAAGGCGCCGCGTTAAGACGTCCGTTTTCCCTGTGGACAGGAGGGCGAGTGAGGGCTCTGCCCGCCTTCAGTTGACGCCCGGCCCTGCTGCCCTGGTTCCCAGTTGGTCTCGTTTCTGTGATTGTCTCTGTGGTTCTGGGATCAGCGACGCGCCGAACGCCTGGTGGGTGATCTGTGGGGCGCGGAGCCCTTGTCATGGGGGAGGGGGTCCCGTGGGCCCCGGAACCAGGGCGGCTCCGCACCTGCCCAAGTGCAGCTCACCCCATCGCACGGGTCTGTCACCGGCTGACGGGAGTCGCTGGGGTCGGCTGGCGCCTGGGCGAGGACTGGCTGGAGGCGTGCTGGGCACTGCCCTGCTGGCCCCTGTGGCTCCTGTTACCCTCCCGAGTGGCCTCCTGAGTCTAAATGCGGAGTCAAACCAGGAAGACCTCCTCTTGGTCATTAATCTGTATCCAACACAGGCCAAGTCAGATTCCCAGCGGCCTTTTTTTTTTTTAAGAAGTGACAATCCCATTCTAGAATGTGTACGGAACTGCCAACTTACTAGACAAGACATCAAGGCCTGTTTAAAGCTATGGAAGTGAAGACAGCGTGGTACTGGCAGACGGTAGAGAAAAGGGACCAACGAGAAGAAAAAGTCCAGAAACAGACCATCTACACACCCGGACGTCGTCACCAATGACACCGAGGCGGGAGGGACATGACGGCTGCTTTAATAAGTGGTGCGGCCCCCGCAGACTGGAGGTCCACCTGGGGAAGTGGAGCAATTGTGCCTTCGGAGGAAGAAAGTGTAATAGGCCCTCCTCACCACTTTGTGGCAGGGGAACGACTCCCCAGAGACGTGAGCGGGAAGGTGATAAGCCATGCTGCCCTGACACCAAGACGGTGCCCCGTCCGGAGTCAAAGGCAAGGCCAGAGATGCTCCCTGCGGACACGAGTGCCGAAGGGCTGTGTCCTTTGTGCAGAAAGCATGTGTCCGCCTTTCAGTAAAAGGACTGACTATCTGACAGAAAAAACGCCACAGGCAGGAATTTCACAAAAGATACCCAAACTGGCAATAGGCTTGTTAAATGACACCCAAGTTCATTGGCCATCAGGGAAATACAAGAATTAAAACCACATCCCGGTTCTACAAAACGTTCTGCAGGATGGCTGAAACGAAGCAGGTGCGAAGCAGCAAATGGGGAATTCGAAGGGGTGCAGCTGAAATCTGGGGCCCTGGGGTGGGGGGCAGCCCACGGGCACAGGAGCCCCTTTGTAAGCATCTTCAACTCAGCAGCTCTCCCCTGGGGCCCATACCCAGCAGAAGCATGTCCACGTTGTCCCCAAAGAACATGTCACAGCAGCATCCGAGGTCCAAAAAGGAAGGCTGCCCAGATGCCCACTGGCCACAGAGCGGTGAGCAGTCGTGTCTTCGCCGATGGGACGCTCCGCATGTAGCAAAGGGCAGGTGGGTCTCCACCACGTGCGCCGGCGGGCATGGCCCAGGATGCACTGCGGGCTGGAGGAGCCAGACACTGGACGGGAGGCCAGCCGGAGCTGCTGGAGGTCTGTGTGGCCCCTCAGGCGGCCGGCAGTGCCTGTCCCCTCACCTGGGCACACGCCTGGCTGCAGCCCACTGTGACATCCACCCAGCACCCCGAGTGTGGGTCACACGGCTTCTCGCAGTCTACTCCGCTCGGACGCGTGCTCAGCCAGCAGCCCGGGGGACGTGGGTGTGGACACCAGTCGGCTTTGGCAGACCCGGAGCTCATTTCATCGGGACGTCGGGGGTGGGCTTCTGAGCGGCCGCAGCTCTTTGGGGAGGGTGTCTGCAGCGTGGTGTGTGGACCACGGGAGCCTGACTCTCCTTCCACAAGAGAGGGGAGCCGGGGCCTGGGGGCCGGCCGAGTGCTGGCCGACCCCCGCTCCCTGGGCGGCCTGCAGGCCCAGGAAGAGTGCGCCTCCCTGCCCGTGTGCCGCCTGCGCCCGCACGTGTGGCGTGCAGGAGACCCGGGCTGGGAGAGGGCCACGACTGCTGGTGGAGGGTCTTCCGCTTGTGGCTTTGGTTTTGGTGTTGGAGCCTAGGTTTCTGACTCCTAATTGCCAAGCGAGTGTTAATGAGCCGTGGGTGGAGCCCACGTGTATCTGCTGCCCCCTTGTGGTGGCTGCGGGTCCTGCAGGGTCCCCACACACACCCCACCCCCACCCCCACCTACCCGTCACCCGGACCCACCCCCACCCCTGCCGGGGCCCTGCGGCTGTGGTCCCCGCACTGATTTCTGAGTGTCACCCACAGGCTTGGCAAAATCTCAGGGTCACTGAACAGCATTTTAACCACTTGAATGAAGTTCCTCCCACTTTCCGGATCCTCTTTCTGCACCATTCGCGGGACAGGTAAGGCCCCCTCTCTGTTCCTGCACCTTCTCCCAGGCTTCCTCCCGTTAAGAAGCCCAGCAGGGACACAGCATGCGGGCTGCCAAGTCGGGGACAGACAGATGGCCAGGCCGGTATGACTGGGGGCTGCGGTGCCACCTCCCCAGCACAGGGTGCAGTGCGTCTGGTCTGTAGGTCACCATCAAAGTGGACAGGACCCTGCTTGTCTGGAGAGGAGCCAGCCCGCCTAGCCTCTGGCAGCGACCGTGGCCGCATCACCGTCAGTGGCCGTGCCCAGAGGGGCCTGTTTTAATGCGTTTCCTGACTTGACAGAGGCGCTCGTAGGATGGGGCTGGTGGTGGGGGAGGTTCGCAGAGTCGGCCTGTTCAGGGCCCCTCTGGGACCCCACGTTGACCACCACCCCCTGCGTCCTGCCAACAGGACCCGTCTGTACGGCGCTGCCTACGAGAAGCCCCGGCTCACCCCTGCAGCCAAAGGCAAAATGCTGCAGGTTGGGGGTGAGTTCTGCTGGAGCAGGCATTTGTCCAGCACCACCCTCGGCGCTGGGCACACTGGCGACAGAGACACACGAGTCCCTCCCCTTCAGGCAGGGGCCAGGCAGAGACCTGGGGCCGTGGCCACCCCAGCCCTCTGTCCACGCATCTCCCATCCCAGGCGGGGAGTCGAGGTCAGGCTGCAGCAGAGTTGAGGGGAGCCCCGGCCACCCTCACCCCTGGAGCTCACGCTCCCTCTCCCCTCCTCAGGCTCCAGGGGGCTTCATTCCACCTGCCATTCATTCAAAACCCAGGGAAGCCTAGACCTTGGCAACACCGTCGCTGTTCCCTCCGGGCCCCTCTGGCTGTCCACACACACCCGGAGGGCAGGCCCCCACCTCTGAAAGCGACCACCAGCCAGCTCTGTCCCCTGCCCAGTCCCGAGCTGTCCCCTACCCCCTGCAGTGCCTGCAGGGCAGCCTCGGTGCACCTGAAACACCGAGTTCTGCTCACCTTCCTTCCCGCCCGCCGCCATCCTTTCATCCTGGCGGGGCCGTCTGTGGGGCTGTAGTGGTGATGACACCTGACTCCACGTGGGCCCACTGGGCCTTCCCTCTGGGGAGTGGCCCCCCGCGGGCGCCCACATGGGGAAGCTCTGCCCAGTTTGCCCCCCTCGTAAATTCCACATGGGCCCATGTTCCCAGCTTGGTCCTCTCTGCCCCAAAGGATGGCCTGCGAGGCCGTATGTG